CTCGGCCCAGGCTCGGCCCAGGCTCGGCTCACGCTCGGTTCACGCTCGGCTCAAGTTCCCCCAGGCTCAGCTCAGGCTCGGCTCAGGCTCGGCCCAGGCTCGGCCCAGGCTCGGCTCAGGCTCGGCTCATGCTCAGCTACTGTCCCCTGCTACACTTAAAAGGAACAAGTCTGGGCACATAGTGCTTTACGGTTTCTGAGCTGACTTACTTTTTGTTTTAAACTTGGTCCCAGAAGTTTGTTTGTTTTCACTGAACCAGGAAAGCAAAACCATTCCTAAATACACTTGCTTCCTAGACAGAGTTTGTGGGCGTTTATCCCCTGGGAAGAAAACACCTGTTTCACTCAGGGCTCTTCCTTCCCCGATATCACCGTGTTGCCCTGTGTGTTCTATGAATGGCCGTTTGGACAAGTGAGAAGGTCAGTGCTCACGTTAGTACAGGGACAGGATGGCCTCATGCCCAGATACACCCCAGAGGAGAGGTTGCCAAGGGCAAATCACTTCCTTGTGAAAGGAACAGCCCTTGCACTTGACTATATAAAGTCTAAGAGCTTCCCAGAGTGTACCCCAGGATTTGGATGGGAGAGAGCAAAGGAAGAGGGAGGGAGAGTCAGTGACTGGCTGACTAGTGGACAGAGTATGGGGAACCCAGGCAGGACTGAGTCACACCTGATGCTCAGGACCCCAGAAAGCCAGCCTAAGATTCAGACCCCATGGCTAAATGTGTAGGAACGGAGTTACCATAAAGGTAGAGCTGCTGTTTCCTCTCAAATGTGGACAGAGAGACAGAGAAAACAAAACACTGAATACCTACTTTGTAGTACATACATTATCTCATCTAACCTTCAGGACGTTATAGGGCAGGGTTTTTTATCCCTATTAAACAGATGAGGAAAGTGAGGTTCAAAAATGTTTAAGACAGGAATAAAGACACAGACCTACTGGAGAACAGACTTGAGGATATGGGGAGGGGGAAGGGTGAGCTGTGATAGGGCGAGAGAGAGACATGGACATATATATATACTAACAAACGTAAGGTAGATAGCCAGTGGGAAGCAGGCGCATGGCACAGGGATACCAGCTCGGTTCTTTGTGGCTGCCTGGAGGAGTGGGATAGGGAGGGTGGGAGGGAGGGAGACAAAGAGGGAAGAGATATGGGAACATATGTATGTGTATAACTGATTCACTCTGTTATAAAGCAGAAACTAACACACCATTGTAAAGCAATTATACCCCAATAAAGATGTTAAAAAAAAAAATGTTTAAGAAACTTGCCTAGAATTACGCTGCTAACGAGCAAAATTGCCCTGGTAACAATGCAAACCCAAGTTCATATGATGTCAAACCCCGTGCTTTCTCCATTCTACCTCACTACCTCTAGTCTGGGTATAGTTGGATTCTAATCAGGTAAAAATAGAAGATAAAATTCATGTAAAGTGCCTGGCAGGACATGGTCACACAATAAATGGTGCCTATTATTAGTATTGGCTATCAGGGATTCAAGAGGCTAGAAGCCCTGACATTGAACATGCTGGTACACAGCTGTACACTAAAGATGTATTTAAAGTTTAGGAGATGAACCTTGATCTTCCTCTGAGCTGGGCATTAGCCAGTTTCACTCTCAATACTGGAACCCACCCCCCATGTGCAAACACAGCATCTGTGACACACGACCCTCCCAGCTGCATGGCAGCCACAGCTTGGCAAAGCAGCATGTTCCAATGTGGTAGAACTCGACCGTGACATAGTTCCTCATGTTGAGCTGAAACCTGCCTCTCTGATCTAACTTTTGTGAATCAGTTCCACTTCTGCCCTATGAAGTAACAAGTCTCTCCCTTCTTTTAAGCTTAGCCCATCAAGTATTTGAAGGCCACTCTGTATCCCTGTGTACTCTCTCCCGTCTTTCTCAGATAAATGTCTCCCAATCCCTCTAATAGGAAATGGTTTCTAGACTCTGTTCATTGTCCTAGTCTGCTTGATCTTGATGGGCTTTGTCAGTGGGCCAGGAGCTGGGCTTTCTCATCCCTCCCATAGTGGCCTGAGTGCCGAGTTCAGTGGGGCTGCTCCCTGCATCATTCGGGACTCTGTGGTACGACTTAGCTTGACAATAGCTCTCAGCTATCTCATCACACTGTCACCTCACCTTCAGCCTGCAGCTCACTGAGGCCCTCGGGTCTTCTTTATAGGAACTGCTGTAGGGAGGTGTCGCACACTCTGTCCCCAGTTGGCGGCTGTCTTGATTATACACATTGGTCCTGCAGTCACAGCCTCAAGGTCTTGCAGTGCCCTGGACAGCAAGTCATCAGGATCTGGGGACACGAGCTCATTTGAAGTGCCTATGCTCCCTGGATGCCTTCTCTCTTGTTATAGGCGTCAGTCCCCTCAACCCCGTCTGTTCATCGCTTTGTAGCTGCAAAATCGTTTTCCAGGGGAGAAGAGAAATGAAGGGGAGGCATCACTACCCAGTAAGGTCTTACTTAGTCACCTGAGGTCAGGCCTTCTTTCTGCCTTCAGTTAATGTAGTAACCACCTTCCCAGGCAGAGAGTTGATACAATCTATGTAACTACTCTGTAAGGGAAAAATGACTATTACCTTTTCTGTTATACAGACAGAACCAGGAACTGGAGGCTCTTAAACTTTAAACACCTTGTCCAAGGTCACATTGAAAGAGGTGGATTCATGAGTCTAGTCCAGGTCATCTGGTTCCAAAGCCTGCATGCTCTCCACTACACCAAGCTCATAGAAAACGATGTGTTTAGACATGGAGGCCTGGGGTAGATGGAGGGATGGAGGGATGGTAAAAAAGAGATTCTGCACACACTGAGAACCTGCAGGTGAGCTAACCCTGACCTGAGTAGGTAGAGAATGTGTCCCAGGTCATGTGGACAGCAAGGATGACAGCCTGTGAATGAACATGCCAAACATATGCTGAGGGGGATCTTCACCCACCCCCTCCAAGGCCATTCTTGCATTTCTCAGGCTTCTGCACAGCACCCAACAATGAAGGGCGCAGGTAAATGCCTGGGGACAGGCTGGACTGACTGCACTCAGCCCTACACCATTCATCATTTCACCCCTTGCCCCAAAGCCCAGAATACGCTCCACTGCTTTATATCCAACTGTGCCCCTCAGTTTAGGGTCCTCCATCCCTTGGACTGATCACACCTGCCTCACTTCATCTGTCATCATTTTGTGGTTTGGCCTCTCTTTCCTGGCCACCTGTTCTCCTCAAACATTGGTTCCTCTAGAAGCATTAGTGCAATGCATACAAGGTGCAACACGGTGTGTGATGCGCTGGCCTGCTGACACTTCTCTCATCCGTCCGAGCTGCCCGTCCATGTCCCACGACCTTTTAATGGTTACTCCTCCAGGGAAATCTCACCTCTTTCCTCTAATCACTCCCTTTCTCTATTCCCCAGAGCTCTATGGACAGATGGACCACAGGAATCAGGTCCTGCCTTTGCTGTCTGAGTTCTTCTGTAGGTGTAAATTGGACCCTCAGCACATTAGTGTAAGAATCTAGTCCTATGTTTTCTTTTTTTTGTTTTGTTTTTGGTTTCTTTTTGCAGTACGCGGGCCTCTCACTGCTGTGGCCTCTCCCGTTGCGGAGCACAGGCTCCAGACGCGCAGGCTCAGCGGCCATGGCTCACGGGCCCAGCCGCTCCGCAGCATGTGGGATCTTCCCAGACCGGGGCACGAACCTGTGTCCCCTGCATCGGCAGGCGGACTCTCAACCACTGCACCACCAGGGAAGCCCTGTTTTCTATTTTTGTTCCCTGCTCCGCATGAGTGGGCACAAAGGAAAGCATTCATGCATCTATTCAGTATATGCTTATTAAACACAGACCATGATCCAGGCACAGGCACTAGGCATAGGTAACACAGCAGTGAATAAGACAGGCAGAGTACCTGCTCTCATGGGGCTTACATTCTAGAGAGAGGGAGACAGGTGATAACAAGTAGGCAATTTAATGATAAGATCATTTCAAACGGTGATAAGTGCTCTGAGGATAATGCAATAGGGTATTGTGATGGTGATGGAGGAGAATTCTTTTGACTGGGGGCCCCCAGCAAGACCTGTTTAAGGAGGTGGCATTTGAACTGAGATAGGGTAAAGGATTCTAGGCAGCAGGTCCACAGTAAAAGTTGAGTGGCTGAGTGGCTGGGTGGCCGGATGTCTGGGTGACTGGGTGGTTAGGTGGTTAGATAGTTGGGTGGCTGGGTGTTGAGTGGTTAGATAGTTGGGTGGCTGGGTGTTGAGTGGCTGGGTGACTGAGCAGTTGGGCGGCTTAGATAGTTATGTGCTTAGGGGGCTGGTTGGTTGACTGGTTGAATGGATGTCAGCACCCATTTATAAGGTGACAGTCCTGCTTGTCAGAAGTTTTTTTCTGCTACTTAATCGAATTCTATCACTTTGTTCTCTTGCAGTTCCCTGTGTAGGAAAAACTGGTGAGTCTTGTCTATGTCTCTTTCATTTCCAAGTGTGTCTCTGGGCCAAAACTTAATGGACAGGGAAAAGTCAGGGCCATTGGGTCCCCCAGAAGCATCTTCAGAGCAGCCCCTGCCTAGGCTTCTTCCTCAGGAGTCTTCACTAATGCCCAGGAAGAGGAGAAACCCAGCACTCTACTCTCTCAGGCTGAGGATAGTTATAGGGTGACTCAAGTCCCAGAAGAATGGCTCTAGGCCACTATCCGGCTCCCTTCCAAGTAGCAACGGCTTCAGTCTCCTCCTCTCAGTGTGACTCTGGGGCTCCTATAGTCTCCATTCATCAAGGCTCTGGACTCCCTTCCATCCCTCTAATGTTCGAAGAAGCAGGCATCTTTCTCTGTGGATCTTCCTTCTTTCTCCCTTAGCTACCTTTGCCCTCCTGCCCGAGTCCCACTGAACTCCATGGAGCCTCTGTCAAGTAGGTGAAAACTCTGGCCTAGGAACATCTTGACCTCCAAGGACATGTTATGTGTATGCCAGGGAGGGAAATCTAAGCCAATAGTTAGTGATGCTAGAAAGAGCAGCCAAGGAAGCAAGACCCATTATTCAGCTGTGCTGTGAGCATCGTTACCTAGTCTAGGGGGAGGAGAATGGGTTCTAGGGATCCAGGTGGATCCAGGCAAAGGCAGGATGTTCTGGGACTCTCCTCAGGACTCCCTGTCTGATTACTCATCATTACTCCCAGGCTTCTGAGGCTGTCTGGGATCAAAGAAGTATGTCCTGGGGCCAGGCCAGCCTGGGATTGCCTTGCAGGTGATGCTGGGTCCCCAGGAGATCTTTTCTTGTCCATGTCAGGACATAAAATGCATTTTAGAAATGAGGACAGAAATGACAGATCTTGCACCATGACTGTGGTGGAAATGAACCTCACTGCTGGGAGTGCCGATGGAGGCTGGGCCTGGGGAAGCCTGATGAGGGAAGCAGGAGGGAGCGAGCCCAGGCCGTGGCACATCCAACACCCACCCCTCCATCTTCTCTCTGGTGGACAGGGGTGCAGCTACCATCAGAGGTAGATGCTGAAGAAAGAGCTGCACTGGAGTCACCAGAGGAAAAGAAACCAATCTAGGGGAGTGAGAATCTAATAAGGAGGAATGAAGCAGAACAATAGATGGAAGGAATCCAACTTGACTCAGGCTTGTCAAGGTGGTGGAGGAAAATGCAGTATAAAAGGAGACAAGGAGGGAGACTTCCCTGGAGGTCCAGCGGTTAAGACTCCACGCTTCCACTGCAGGGGGCATGGGTTAGATCTCTGGTCACAGCCAAAAAAA